TTGCGGAGCACAGGCTCCAGACGCGCAGGCTCAGTAGTTGTGGCTCACGGGCCTAGTTGCTCTGCGGCATGTGGGATCCTCCCAGACCAGGGCTCGAACCCGTGTGCCCTGCATTAGCAGGCAGATTCTCAACCACTGCGCCACCAGGGAAGCCCTACTGTCTCCTTTGTACATCTATTTTCAAATAAAAATGCATGCATTTCTCTCCCTTGGCACAGTCTTATACTATTCTTATCATCAGCATGATCATTATTGTTTGCTTGGTAGGCAATTAACAACTGTTGAGTTTCCAGTTGGATGGAAGGGTAGGTAGGAACAAAGCAAGATGGAAGGTCGAGGGAAATTTCTCTTAAGTAATTGGAAAAGAGTTGGAAGAAATGAACATGTCATAAACAGCAAACTTGTATTTGTTATTATGTGTCTCAGTATTCAGAATAGAAGGAAAGTGACAGAGAGGCTTACTATTTATACAGGAAGTAAGACCCACACGTAGAAAGAAAAAGCACTACTGGGTAAGTCATGTTGGATGACAATCAAGGCGATGCCTGTTCAGTGATCTTTGGGGCCAGGAAGGGAGCAGGAAGTGCTTGAGTCTGACCTTGTGCAAGAGGATTTCAGTGAGAAAAGAGTTGGGAGAGTATATGAGGTGAAATTAACTGAATGGTACTTGATAGAAAATACAGAAAAAGGGGCTTCCCTGGTGGCGCAGTGGTTGGGAGTCCGCCTGCCGATGCAGGGGACACAGGTTCGTGCCCCGGTCTGGGAGGATCCCACATGCCGCGGAGCGGCTGGGCCCGTGGACCATGGCCGCTGAGCCTGCGCGTCCGGAGCCTGTGCTCCGCAACGGGAGAGACCACATGAATGGTACTTGATAGAAAATACAGAAAAAGGGGCTTCCCTGGTGGCGCAGTGGTTGGGAGTCCGCCTGCCGATGCAGGGGACACAGGTTCGTGCCCCGGTCTGGGAGGATCCCACATGCCGCGGAGCGGCTGGGCCCGTGGACCATGGCCGCTGAGCCTGCGCGTCCGGAGCCTGTGCTCCGCAACGGGAGAGGCCACGGCAGTGAGGGGCCTGCGTATCGCAAAAATAAAATAAAATAAAATACAGAAAAAGGATGAAACACGGTGTGAGCATGATTCTACCCAAGAAGAAGAAAGAATATGGTGGGGAAAGGATGCTGGATGATTTCCCCATGGAGCCTACACGATGGCTCAGGAAAGGTTAGTGCTGATCTAGACCCAGACAGGGAATAATGAATGGCCTTGGAGTTTTCAAGTGATCAGGCAGCATGTGATCAGACTTTCAGAGATGTTGGCAATTCAGATTATGCCTTAATGTACCTAGGTATTTTTATAAAACACAGAATTTGTATTATTTTACCATATTCTGACCGTTTTTGTTTGTTTTTGGTTGCGTGTCCTATTACGCAAATCTTACAGATTCCTAAAGAAGGAGATCTGAAACCCTTGCCTTTGGTATTAAAAGATGTCAAGTACTCCCCCTTCCCTCCTTTTCTTCTTTCTTTAGCTTTCTTTCGTTAATTGACTCTGACCAAATCACTTCATTCTTTGGGTCCCTGATTATTATTTAATCTCTAAATGACAACACTGAACTAAATTATGTATCCCTTCCACTTCTAAAACCTTGTTTATGAAACTTTCCAAAATGACAAAACACAGCAGTCGACGAGGACGAGCCCTAATCATACTGGCCAAATTAAATAGCTGTGGTTTCCCAAAAAGTTACTTCTAAATATCACAGATGATTCAGTTACCCCCTTTTTTCCCCTATAACTAGTTGATCTCTCTGCTCTCAGAGCTGTTACGAGGGCACTGAGATTTACGTAGAAAAAGTGGTGCGGGAAGCGCGGGATTTTCACACAGCATTTCACAGATTTTCAAATCAGCAAAACTGTTAGCTCCTATCTCCTTGACTCAAAAAATCTGGATAGCCACAAGTAGATAAAACCTTATCTTTCCGCTCTTGAGTTCCCCCTCCTGGGCTTTAGATGCATTGACCGGCATAAGATTCGGCCCCTTAACTGATGAGCCTAACACCCTAGGTGTTCACTTGGCGCCTGGCTGACCCGTGGG